GTTCACCTTGGGACCAGAAACATCCAGGTCTCCCTTCGGCAGGTTCACGTCCACCTCTGGACCTTCTGCTTTGAACCCCGGCATCCCAAACTTGGGCATCTTGAACTTGGGCATCTTGAACTTGCCTTCTGGGCCATGAACATCCACGTCCGGCACCTCAACGTCCACTTTGGGGCCCTTGATGTCCACCTCAGGGCCTTTCAGTTCACCTTCCAGCTTGGGAACAGACACGTCCACACCACCCTTGAGCTTGGGCGCCTTGAGATGCAAGTCGACATCAGGCATGGAGATCTTGTGTGACTTGATGTGCATCTCGGGCATCTTGAACTTGGGGCCCTTCATCTTCCCTTCAGGACCTTCAATATCCACCTCTGGACCCTCAATGTCCACCTTGGGACCAGAAACATCCAGGTCTCCCTTCGGCAGGTTCACATCCACCTCTGGACCTTCTCCTTTCAGGCCAAACTTGGGCATCTTGAACTTGGGCATCTTGAACTTTCCTTCTGGGCCGTGAATGTCCACGTCTGGCAACTCAACGTCCACCTTGGGGCCCTTGATGTCCAGGTTGGGGCCTTTCAGGTCACCTTCCAGCTTGGGTGTTCCCACTTCAACGTCCCCTTTCACGCTGGGCCCTTTGAGGTTGAAGTCCACGTCGGGCATGGAGATCTTGGGCGCCTTGATGTGCATCTCGGGCATCTTGAATTTGGGGCCTTTCAGCTTCCCTTCAGGACACTCCAAGTCCAGATCTGGTGCCTCCACATCGAGTTTTGGCCCTTTCAGGTCTAGTTCTGCACCACCTTCCAGCTTGGGCGCTGCCACCTCCACTTCTCCTTTCGCTTTCGGTCCCTTCAGGTTCAAATCGACGTCGGGCATCGAGAGTTTGGGCGTTTTGATGTTCAGCTTCGGCATCCTGAACTTGGGACCTTTCCACTTCCCTTCTGCTCCTCCAACATCCAGCTCGGGCCCTTCAACATCTACCTCGGGCCCTGAGATTTCAACCTCTGCTTTCGGCAGCTCCACCTCGGGGCCCTCAAGCTTGGGGCCGGAGAGGTGAAAATGCGGCAGTTTCATTTTCGGCATTTTCAGGGTGGCTTCCGGACACTCCAGGTTCACATCTGGGACCTCGGCCTCTAGTTTCGGTCCTTTCAGGTTCACATCAGGTCCTTTCAAGTCACCTTCTGCCTTGGGAAGGGTGACGTCCATCTCGCCTTTCATCTTGTGGCCCTTGAGGTTCAAATCCACGTCCGGCATCGAAATTTTGGGCGCTTTGATATTGAGCTTCGGCATCTTAAATTTGGGGCCTTTTATTTTCCCTTCTGGACATTCCAAGTCCACCTCGGGCACGTCGACATCTACTCCGGGCCCTTCCACGTCTACCTGAGGGCCCTTCAGCTCTCCAGAGACCTTCACACCAGAAATGTTCACGTCTCCTTTCACTTTGGGGGCCTTCAACCCCAGGTCGACGTCCGGCATGGAGAGTTTGGGCGTCTGGACGTTCAGTTCGGGCATTTTCAATTTGAGACCTTTTCCTTTGGCTTCTGGCCCTTCCATGTCCACACTTGGCAGGTCGATGTCTACCTTGGGACCAGAGATGTCCACCTCGCCCTTTGGAAGGGTGACATCAACGCTGGGAGCTTCTCCCTTCAGTCCAGGAACCCCAAACTTGGGCATTTTCAGTTTGGGCATCTTCAGTTTACCTTCTGGACCATGGATGTCCACGTCTGGAGCCTCAATGTCAACTTTGGGGCCCTTGATGTCAAGTCCAGGAGCTTTCAGGTCCCCTTCCAGCTTCGGGGCAGAAACCTCCAGGTCTCACTTCACTTTGGGGCCTTTCAGGTTCAGGTCGATGTCAGGCATGGAGATCTGGGGGGTCTTGAAGCTCATCTCGGGCATCTTCACCTTGGGGCCCTTCAGCTTCCCCTCTGGCCCCTTGATGTCCACACTTGGCACCTCAATGTCTACCTTGGGACCAGAGATGTCCACCTCTCCCTTTGGAAGAGTCACATCAACGCTGGGTGCCTCTCCCTTCAGTCCAGGAACCCCAAACTTGGGCATTTTCAACTTGGGCATCTTCAGTTTACCTTCTGGACCATGGATGTCCACGTCTGGAGCCTCAATGTCAACTTTGGGGCCCTTGATGTCAAGTTCAGGACCCTTCAAATCGGCTCCGACCGTGGGGATGGAAATGTCCACGTCACCCTTCACTGAGGGGCCT